CATAACATCTCACCCCCCAAATTTCTCTGAAACATACTATAAAGTTTCATTGAAGTATAAACAGTAGTTAAGTACTGTGTTAAACTCTTTCTGGGACACAATTGTTAAAAGGACTTATACAACTAAAATAGATTAAAACAAAATGTGCTATTCTTGACCGAACTATACTTGAAAATCTGAAGTAATGTTTTTGTTTCAGTAGTGGCTCTTTTGAAAATAGCAAACAAGATTTTCTGGTTATGTGTTTGGGTTGTGCTGCCACATTAAATGGGTGACACCCAGTTACTAACGTGGTCTTAGTATGTGCCCTGTTGTGGCTGATCAGAATGCTGGGAAACGTTTTTGAAAGGTTTTAAACCTTTTCAGAATGTAAAGTTTGCTGTATATACGGACCTTTTGCTGTCATATATACCTAGCTACATGAAAAACTCACTGGGTGGAGTGAGCTTTATAGTAAAATTAGAAATTAATCAAGGAAACTAGCTGCAGTTTGTTTAGCATCTGGGAATTTTTCTCTTAGTTCTCACATGTATGAGTTCTCATTTTTATCCTTGAGGAAGTTATATTTTCTCAGTTGGATTGATATTAAAAATAGCCCTTTAAAAAATACTGCCATTCCATTCATGATCATCTGAAAGTGTGAATCTACTTTTAAAAAACATAAGGTATCATATAACTGCAGCAAATCAATTACTGCATAGTCCCTAGTCATTTCCAATGCAGCTTTCTAAAACCTACTTCCCATGTGCCCTTTTCTTAATTAAAAGTAATCTAATAGAGCAAAGCTTCAATGCGCTCAAATTGAGAAAGATCAAAAAGGCAAATGTTTCTTATGTAACTAATTAGTATATGTCACATGTACTGCTCTGTTTCGAATTTTGAGAACCATTCTAATACCAAGGAAGTCAGAGCAGATCATCACTCCTCTGTGTATTTTGATATCACAGACATAAATAAAGCTCCAACATGCCCACATTGGTTGGATTAATATATAGCAGATTGTAGGTAGTAATAGAAACACTGAATACTATTAATAGATCTAACAGAAAGAAACATTATTTAGAAGTCAATAAAGGCTAAGAAGTAATCCTTTGGGGGAATTCATTCTACTCAAAGGTTTGTTTAATTAAAACTTGCAGCTAGGGGCTGGGAAGGTGGCTCAGTGGTAGAGTGCTTGCTTTACTGCATGAGGCCCTAGGTTCTATTCCTCAGCACCACATAAGCAGAAAAACTGGAAGTGGGGCTGAGGCTCAAGTGGTACAGCTCTAGCCTTCAGCTGAAGAGTTGAGGGACAGAACCCAGGCCCAGAGTTCAGGCCCCACAAATGACAAAAAGAAAAAAAAAAAAAACTTTCAGCTATTCCCATTTGCTCTTAGTTTCTAGTACTTGCCAAACTTAATCTTGACATAAAAAAAAAAAAAAAAAAAATCACATAGGGGCTGGGAAGATGGCTCAGTGGTAGAGCGCTTGCCTTGCATGCATGAGGCCCTGGGTTCGATTCCCCAGCACCACATAAGCAAAAAGAAAAAAGCCGAAGTGGCGCTGTGGCTCAAGTGGTAGAGCACTAGCCTTGAGCTGAAGAGCTGAGGGACAGTGCCCAGGCCCAGAGTTCGGGCCCCACGACCGGACCCCCAAAAAAAAAAAAATCACATAATTACAAATAAATATTGTATGTTTACCTACTTTAGTATCTCAACAGACGTTTTGAAAAACAAAAACATTGCTTTCTTGAAAAGTTCAGTTCTTCACCAGATTAATCAGTTAGTGCTCATTCTTCATTGTGTCCTTCCTTAGCATTTAGCACAGTCTTGCCATTTTTTATTTGCCTATCTTCCTTAGTCAATCATTAGCTCCTCCAAGTACAAATTGTATTTTTTGTCTCATATATTCTTTTTTGTAACTGTTTATATTCATCATAGGAAAAATTGCTAGATCTAGGAGTAAATGGCTCATGCATATAATCTTAGTTTTATCGGAAGGCTAAGAACAACAGGATAGTGATTTGAGGTCAGCCTGGGCAGTAAAGTCCAACAGTCTTGATCTCCACCAAGTGAAGCTGGACATGGTAACATGTGACTGCCATCCCAGCAAGGACAGAAACCTAAAGTTAGGCAGCCGACCAAGGCTCAGGCCTGCACCCAGTGGGAACCAGGACCCACTTCTAAAAATAACCAGAAGAAACACAGCACAGCTAGAGCTGGGCTTATGCCTATAATCCTAGCTGCTTAGGAGGTTCAGATCTAAGGATTGCAGTTTGAAGCCAGCCCAGGCAGGAAAATCCGTGAGACTCTTATCTCCAATTAAGCACAAAAAAGCCAGAAATAGAGCTGTGGCTCAAGTGGTAGAGCTCTAGTCTTGAACAAAAAGGACAATGGCAGCTCCTGGCCCCACGATTCATATTCTCTCTCTCTCTCTCTCTCTCTCTCTCTCTCTCTCTCTCTCTCTCTCTCTCTCTCTCCTCTCTCTCTCTCTCTCTCTCTTTCTCTTCTTCTCTCTCTCTCTCTCTCTCTCTCTCTCTCTCACACACACACACACAGCTAAAAGTGAGAGGCTGATGGTTTAGGATTATAATCCTAGCTGCTCAGGAGGCTAAGATCTGAGGATCAAAATTCAAAGCCAACCAGGACAGGTCAACTGTGAGGTTTTTATCTCCAATTAATTACCAAAAACCCAGAAGTAGAGCTGTGCCTTAAGTGGTAGAATGCCAGTTTTGAGTAGAAAAACCTAAGGGACAGTGCCAGGACCTTGTATTCAAGCCCCAGTACTGTCACAAAAAATAAATAAATAAACAGCTAGAGGCATAGCTCAGTGGTCTCACACTACTCTATCAAGTACAAACCCAATACTACCAAAAAGAAAAGAGAAATTCACTTATTTTCTTGTTTGTTTTATAAATATTATAAAGATAAAAATGGTTTCTTACTTTTACCATGTTCTTTATGTTTGAACATATTTTACTTTATTTAATGAAACCTTAATGTAACTTTTATATTCTTAATATTAATGTATGATGAAATCTTAATGATTCCTAGTAGAATCTTTTTTTTTTTTTTTTTTTTTTGGGTCCGGTCATGGGGCCTGAACTCTGGCCTGGGCGCTGTCCCTCAGCTCTTCAGCTCAAGGCTAGCGCTCTACCACTTGAGCCACAGCGCCACTTCCGGCTTTTTTCTTTTTTGCTTATGTGGTGCTGAGGAATCGAACCCAGGGCCTCAGGCATGCAAGGCAAGTGCTCTACCACTGAGCCACCTTCCCAGCCCGTATAACCATGTCTTCAGTAGAGCCTTACAAGATTTCCAAACAAAACAAATAGTACCCAAACCGAATGAGCAGTTTGCAGTTGCTAAACTGGATATCTTCAAGTCATTATCTTCAGAATGTTGATAATGGATGACCCTTATATGTCATCTCAAAGAGATCTAATGCATCTCTTTGTAGAAAAGTACAAATTTAATTTGCATAAAACTCCATCCCATCCAGAATTCTATTTCTTTGTAATTACATTTGCTTTGTTGTTAGTCTAAATTGAATATTACACAAGTATGGCCTGTACATTCAACATATATTTGTTGAAAAATTACTGTTTGGAAGGTATCCTGATACCATTACTATTGGAAACAGAAATATGGAAAAAGTTACATGTAAGAAATAAAGGATGAGAAAGAACAAAAATAGGAATGAAGGTATTATCAAGGTTTTAAAATTAAATAAACAGGGCTAGTACTGGAGATATAGTTCAAGTGGTAGAGTACCTACCTAGAAGGCCCAAAGACCAGAGTTCAAGCCCCAGTACCCCCCCCCCAAAAAAAAGATACGCAGCTAGTGATATAAAATACTGATGGTTGAGAGGCTGGGAAGGTAGCTGAGTGGTAGAGTGCTTGCCTTGCATGCATGAGGCCCTGGGTTCAATTCCCCATCATAAGCAGTAAAAACCAGAAGAAATGTTGTGGCTTAAGTGAGAGCGCTAGCCTTGAGCTGAAGAGCTGAGGGACAGTGCCCAGGCCCAGAGTTCAGGCCCCACGACCGACAAAAAATAAAAAAATACTGATGGTTGAAATAGAGTTGATATTTAAAATTAACACTTGGACTCATTTGTAGAAATGTCATTTTTTGCAGTCAAATTAGAGAGAACTTGGTATATTTGTGTTTGGAAATGAAAAAACAATACATACAAGCTGTTTTATAAATCTGTAAAGGTAGTTTGGTGGTTCCCTAAGGCTGAGGAGGGGTGGGAGCAGGAGATATCTAGTGAAGAAGAGAGGAGGACGGGAAGTGAGCGTAAATGGGCACCAAGTTCCTATAGGTGTATTGAAAGTGTTCTGAAATTAGATTGTAGTGTTAGTTGCACAACCCTTACCTGTGCTAAAGGCTGTTTAATTGTATACTTTAAATGAGTAGAGTTTATTATATGTTACTGCATGTCAATTAAATTATGTCAATAAAGCTGGGTTTTTTTTAAGAATAGTTGCCAGAAAATGAATGTGTTTGTTCCATTTACAACTTCAACTGTTTATTAAGGCAAAATATTATGCCAGTTGAAAAAATAGTCTTAAAAAGAATAGTCTTGAAACAAGCTGTTCAGTTTGCTGTATAAATTTTCAAAAATCATCTTTTTTTAATTTGGAATAATGATTTCTTTTAAATAAAGGTGTAGGGTGATGTTTTAAATTATTTTCAGAGTTTTACCTGTATTCCTTAGTCTCATATTTAGAAAATGTTAAAATGTATCATTTCTGTCCTATAATTTTATTTAAAGAAAAGATACCTTCTTGCCATTGGAAAAAATCCTGTCTTCATGGATTCCATGGATTCCACAATTCATAGGTTAAATTAATAGGTTAACTAATATAGAACATAAAATTGAGATAAATATGAAATTTTTGTTATTGAAAAAATGTCTTTATGAAATTTTCTTCTCAACAATATTGCTAGTCTGTAAGGAATTATTTGTGTTATCCTCCAGTATAAAAGAATTTTTAAATAGCTAAAGTGTTTTTTTTTTCACCTATGGGGCATTTGCACATACAGAAGCCATAATTGTTGTACCCTTCATCACAGTGACCCCAGATTGCTGTTACATGGTTTGTAAGAAGAGGAGCCATTCCTCTTCCTTTGATCTGAGCACACTTCATTAGAACAACTTTTCTTATCTTCTCTTTTTTCTTTTCTTTTCTTGTTGTTGGTGGTAGTGGTGGTGGTAGTGGTGGAGGTGGTGGTCATGGTGCTTAGACTCCAGTCCTGGGGTGCTGTCTCTGAGGTCTTTTGCTTATGGCTAGGAGTCTCCCACTTTGAGCCACAGTTACACTTCTGGTTTTCTGGTAGTTAATTGGAGATAAAAGTCTCACAAACTTTTCTGCACAATCCTCAGATCTCAGCCTCCTGAATAGGAAGGATTACAGATCAGAGCCACCAGCACCTTGCAAAATTCTTTCTTAAAAGTGGAACCAGAGGAGCTGGAAATGTGGCTTAGTGGTAGAGTTCTTGCCTTGCATGCATGAAGCTCTTGGGTTTGATTCCTCAATACTACATAAACAGAAAAAGCCGGAAGTGGCACTGTGGCTCAAGTGGTAGAATACTAACCTTGAGCAAAAGAAGCTCAGGGCCAGTGACCAGACCCTGAGTTCAAGCCCCAGGACTGGCAAGAAAAAAAAAAATATGGAACCAGAGCTGGATGCTGGTGGCTCAAGCCTGTAATCCAGACAAGGCAGGACCATCCATGAAACTCTTTACCTCCAATAAACTATGCAGAAAAGACTGGAAATAGTGCTGTGGCTCAAGTCATAGAGTACTAGCCTAGAGCAAAAAGAAGCTCATGAATAACACCCAAACCCAGAGTTCAAGCCCCAGTACCAGCAAAAATATAAAAATAAAAGTGGAACCATGCACTGGTATGGTATACTTCTCTATCTCAGCACTGAGAAAGCTTTTGGTGAGTTCAAGGTTAGTCTCAACTGCACAGTGAGACTCTATCATACAAACCTAAATAAATAAAATGGAATTGGAACAACTCACATTTAATATGAGTTTTAATACTAACGTCAGGAATTAAATAAATGATTTAGTACAAAATCTTTGTCTTACTTTGAAGTTTTCTACATCTTTTTTATCTTTACTTAAAATAGAAAACCTATTCCAGGGCTGGGAATGTAGCTTAGTGGTAGAGTGCTTACCTAACATGCATGAAGTCCTGGGTTCGAGTCCTCAGTACCACATAAACAGAAAAAGCCGTATGTGGTGCTGTGGCTTAAGTAGTAGAGTGCTAGTCTTGAGCAAAAGAAAAGCTCAGGGACAGTGCCTAGGCCCTGAGGTCAAGCCCCAGAGCTGACAAAAAAGAAAAGAAAACCTATTCCATTGTATTTTATATTTACAAAATGCATGTTGTTGTCTGAAGTAAATACAAATGTTTGTTCTTCGTACAGGCTCATTATTTTTCAGAATATTTCAACTAATTTTCTGATTTGTTTGTAATTAGGAAATTTTTCTGACAATGGAGAAAAAATGAAAATTTCTATTATATAGTCTTTTTTTCTGGTGGAGGGGAGATTGTTGCTGTTGGTCATGGGGCTTGAACTCAGGGCTTGGGCACTGACCCTGAGCTCTTTCACCCAAGGCTAATGCTCTACCACTTTGAACCACAACTCCACTTCTGGTTTTCTGGTGGTTAATTGGAGATAAGAGCTTTTCCTGGCCAGGCTAGCTTTGAACTGTAATCCTCAAATCTCAGCCTCCTGAGTAGTTAAAATTACAGGCATGAGTCAATGGCTCCCTGCACACTCTTGTAGTTTTTTTGGTCGGTCATGGGGCCTAAACTCTGGGCCTGGGCACTGTCCCTCAGCTGGTGCTCTACCACTTGAACCACAGCACCACTTCCAGGTTTTCTGCATATGTGGTGCTGAGGAATCGAACCCAGGGCCTCATGCGTGCAAGGCAAGTATTCTACCACTGAGCCACCTTCCCAGCCCTTTTGTAATCTTTTTAAAAGAGCTAGAAACCATTACTTCAGTAATCAGTATATGACAGTATTGCTATAAAAATTTTAATGCTGCTTTCAGAATTCTGACTTGTTAACAATGTATTGGTTTTTTTTTTTTAATTTGGCTCTGAATTCAGTTTTTCTGCTAACTTTTATTTTCTAGGAAACAAATATATTTTTAAAATATTAGACAGCATTCTACTTTGTAAGCATTAATATTCTCATATTATTCACATAGCGTCCACTTGGCAAGAAGAGTGCTTCAGTTAGAAAAGCAGAACTCGTCGATTTTAAGAGACTTGGAACAGCAAAAGAACCAAGTAACACAGCTTTCACAAGAGGTAAATAACTTAAATTTTAAAAACTCACTAAAAAAAGTGTTTTAATTCTTTTTAACTATTTTCTGTGCAGTGATAAAATAAGGTATTTTCTAGTACAAAAAAATGATTTCACATTTTATGAAGCTAAATATTAAGGACCTATAAAATAATGTATGGTAAAACTGAGAACAAAAGAGATTAAATGCCTAGACTAAGTATAAATGCAGACTAGACAGACAAGGCTTTGATTTCTGAGAATATGAACTGGCAAAACAGGTTTGGCAGATTTGGGTGACATTTGAAATTTTTCACTAATACCTGATTTTCACAATAGATTTACTTTGTAATTTTTCTTGATTAAAAATCACTTATCATTTATCACTTAGAAATAGGTCCACATTTGCTATTTTTATGTACTAATATATTATTTTAAAAATATGTATGTAAATATTGCATAGCATATTAATCCTCTTAAGTATTTTAAAGCAGCTATTTTTCATACTTCTGAAATTCATCATTAGACATTTAAAACCAAAGTTGCCACTTCTCTAATATTTCTTTTTATTTCCTGAGTTTCAGTATAACAGATATTTCTAGTTTAACATTTAAAATTACAATGGAATTTTTATGTTATTAATATATGCTTCTGTATTTTGAATGTTTTAATACTAGAACATTATGAGGATCTTATCCTAAAATTTAAAAAGAAAGAAATGTCTCATAACTACAGTGTTTGGCACAGTAATTAATGCTCAGGATGATGATGTAGTAAAATATGCTAACAACCAGCTTTCCAATAGGGGAATAAGAGCTCTTTTTGTAGCATTTACTTGTGTCTGTGGCCTCTGACTGACCACAAGGTGCCACATAATGTTAATGAGGAAAGAATGTCTCAGCAGCATGCCATATTGTAATGATTATAGCATGTAGAAGTAGTTAACATATGTAAATTTTAAACATAGGTGATAGTAAGTAGTTTCACATGTTATGAGGATTTACTCCCTTCATTCTTAATGAAATTATTTGTATCATAAATTTAGATTGTTTCCATTTTTAACTATGGTTGTATTTTATAAGCAGCTCACATAATTCTTCCAAGTTCACACACAAGCTCTCATAGGCTGCTACAAGCTACTGCAGCATATTACTGGGCACTAGAGTAGAAGGATAACGAAATATCTAAAGAAACAGATGAATCTTGACTACTATATTATAGTTTGTAATTTCATAATAAACGATGAATAGTTTTATAAAACGCAATACTGAGATATGAACATGCTCCCATGTATCTATACCTTTTTACTACCTTTTTTAAAAGCTGCCTTCCTGAGCATACCTGTTAATTAAATGAGTTTTGTTTTTTTGTTTTGTTTTTGCCAGTTGTGGGGACTGAACTCTGGGCCTGGGCGCTGTCCCCCAGCTCTTCAGCTGTAGACCAGTGCTCTACCACTTGAGCCTCAGCCCCACTTCCAGCTTTTTCTGCTTATGTGGTGCTGAGGAATAGAACCCAGGGCCTCATGCATGCAAGGCAAGCACTCTACCACTGAGCCACTTCCCAGTCCCTAAATGAGAATTTCTAAATGTTCATATACATATAAATTGTTCAGAGAAAATGGAAGAAATTGAATGTTCTTTTATGACATTTAACCTTTTAGGAAGCAATTTTTTAAAAAGCTATAGCTTATACTGAAGGAACACTATAACTACTGAACTGTTTTTAATATGAAATGGTATGATGCGTGTGCTCAACCTATATTCAAGAGAAAAAAAAGAAGGGCTTAATTTATATATAAGTTCATTAGGTGCTTCTCTGTAGGCTTTTTATGTACATTCTGTATAAAATATTTAATTAGACATTTGGAGAAAGCATCAGTAACCATATACTAAGGAATTTATACTAACTCTAGTATATAACATTTCTCTTAAGATTGAAAATGAAGCTGGGTACTGGTGGCTTATGCCTGTAATCATAGATACTCAGCAGGCTGAGATCTGAGGATTACAGTTCAAAGCCAACACAGGCAGGAAAGTCTGTGAAACTTTCATCTCCTATAAACTACTCAGAAAGACCAAAAATGGTACCGTGACTCAAGTGGTAGAACACTAGCATTGAGCAAAAAGAAGCTCAGAGAAAGTGCCCAGGCCCTGAGTTCAAGCTCCAAGACCATTTTTTTTAATTGAAAATAAAATATTTAATTTTAAAAATTCCTTATTTTTTCGTCATCGTCATCTTCCTCCTCCTCCTCCTCCTCCTCCTCTTCTTCTTCTTCTTCTTCCTCTCTCTCTTTCTCTCTCTCTCTCACTCTTTGTCTCTCTCTCTCTCTCATACACACACACACACACACACACAAAATTGTAGGCCAGTCGCAGTGGCTCATGCCTGTAATCCTAGCTACTCAGGAGGCTGAGATCTTTGGATCCCAGATCTAAGCCAGCCCAAGCAGGAGAATCCATGAGACTCTTATCTCCAATTAACCACCAGAAAACCAGAAATGGCACTGTGCCTCAAGTGGTAGAGTGCTTACCTTGAGCTGAAGAGCTCAGGGACAGTGCCCAGGCCCATAGTTCAAGCCCCACAACAAACAACAACAACAAAAAAGTATTGGTTAAATTCAGCAAAATTGCACAAACTAAAGTCAAGTACCAATAGTCCTAGCTACTCAAGAGATTGAGATCTGAGGATCCTGGTTCAAAGCCAGCCTGGGCAAGAAAGTCTGTGAGTCTACAATTAACCACCAAAAAGGTGAAAGTAATGAAACTGTGGCTCAAGTGGTAGAGTACTCGTCTTGAGCAAAAGAAGCTCTGGGTCAGCACACTGGCCCTGAGTTACTGGCCCT